CTATTTATTATGGTTTGGCCATTCGTCGGAACCCAACATCCTTAGATGACATGAAAAATGAAATTTGGGCGACCTTATTTCATAAGTTATCAACTGACGAAAATCCGCAACACGAGAAGTGCTCGAAATCTTGGTGCAATTAGAAGAAGGCGCAAGAAGCAGATACCTTGGACACTTTCCGTCACAAGTCACCGCTTTCCGAGGAAGTTTACGAAGCCATAAAACCTATTTATGAAGATTTGAGTCGGGACGAGTTACTAAACCGTTGCCTGGGCGGTTACACGCAAAATAGTAACGAAAGTTTTAATGCGACAGTGTGGAATTTGGCTCCTAAATCGTATTCAAGCGGCAAGACAGTCCTAAATATAGCAGCGGATATCGCTACATGCGTCTTTAATGATGGAATAACTAATATTTTACGTATTATGCAGCTTCTGGAAATGGAAATTGGCGTCGAAGCATATAATTTTTGCATCGAATCCGATGCAAAACGAATCAAGCACTCAGAGGCACAATTATCAGATGCGGCAAAAAAAGCGCGCTCTGGCATAACATCTGCGAGGAAAGAAATGGAGGACGAATATTCCAACTTAGAAGGGCAGCTTTACGGTGCTGGGATTGCAGACTAATGGTAAAAATTTTTTTTGAGTCGAATTTAAAATTTTTTCATGTTCATAATACAACTCCAAACTTTAAACGCGTTTTTCTCGAAACACGTTTTTTCAACGCGGCAAGCAGTATAACTCTAACAATTTTTAATATTTTTACTTGAATTTTTTACTGTACATTCAAAACAACATTTCGAAGTACAATACGTATGGAATTTTTGATACGTTGCTCTAAACATTTTTTATTGCCAAATAATGTCACTTTTTTTTTGTCGAAAAATGAACGACTTTATTCAAATGCTCGCCAATCACTCAAAAATCAATATTTCTAAAATCCCATACGTATTGTACTAGATATACCATTGAAGATCATGAGGAATTTTTTTATTTGTTCTAGGTTCAAATTTCCAACGGCTACACTGCTTGCCGCAGACCCCTTTATTTTAAAGGAGCATCGGGAATATGGCTGCCATTCCGCCATTTTGTAATATTATTTTATGAATAAATTTTTACAAGTACTTCAATATATGCTTATTAACTTCACGGAGTATTAATACTTTATTTCATTTCCTTTTATTAAAAAAAAATGTCGAAAAAGTGCAATTTTTTGGGCCGTTACAGTGGTGTTATCCCTTAAATTTAAAAAGAGTTAGCTAAAATCTTTACTTTCGCAAAAGTCACAGTTGTTTTCCGACATACTTGTTGACCAAAAATGTCTCCAAGTATATTTAAAATAAAATACTGCTATTAAACAGTGTCCAATAACAATTTAATGACACCCATTGGTCGTATACATATATACGTATATATTCACAAATATGTTTTGACAGTGCAGCGCGTGGCCTTATATCCTCACTCAGCGGAATTCTAACTGCGAGAAAAGACGCCGCGTAGCGGCGAAGGCACGAATGAGTGCACGACTTTACGGACGGTTTTCCGCGAGCGCTTTCGCGCGGTCTTGTCTGGCGGTGTAGCATATGTTACAAGCGTTTTACTATGAAAATATAATTGTGAAAATATATATACGGATTGCTTTTTACCTAAAATTAGACCAGACCGGATTTCACATTGGATAAAAAATATAAGTGAATGTTTAGATATCAATTTGGAAGCCTAGTAAACGAGAGTAGTTCATTCTACATTTGCATGTGTACACGAAAATGTAGGATGAGTTATTCTCATTTACTTTATAATCTCATTGCTTTATAATCATTACTATATTTGCAAAATATAATTTATATATATAAATTATATTATAGAAATATATGTATTTATATTAAATTTTTTATTTACTATTATACTTAAGTAATAACTCACTTATTAAAGTAATAACAAATAAAAAAATGTATAATTTAATTTTATTATTATTCGACACATTTGGATAAAAAATGAGAAATTCTAGAACAAAGGAACATTTTTTACTTACAGACAAGTGACGCAGTTTACTAAACTTATATTTTATTAACGTTCGTATTTTCATTTCTGATAATAATTCTTTCTAATTTGATAATAGATTTGTAATTAGCAGAGAAGTGCGTATATAAGTACAAATATGTTAGAAGAAAATCTGCTCGAAATTCACAGTACAAATACTCTTCTTTCTTCTGCAAGCAAAGGAAATGTTATCACTTTATCTTCTTATTTATACTCCACATTTTACATGGTAATTTTTTAAATCAAGAATTTAATATATTTGATAAATTAACAAATGTTGTTTGTAAACAAATCAATTATAAATTTCCAAAAAGTTATTGCATGTTTAGTTCAAACTCAAACATATAAAATTACGGAATATTAAAAAAGATATATTGAGATAAATAATTATAATATAATAAGAAAATATATAAATTAAGTAACAAAAAGCAAAAATTATAAATAGTGTAAAGTTTAATAATTTTATAGTTTAATATTTTAATAGTTTAATCATTTATATATATAATTTTAATAGTATATAATTAGTATATTATATGTATATACATATATACATATATGTAGTATAATTAAAATAATTTATATAATAAGTTTAGTAATTTAATAATTTATTGTTAATTATTTTGTATATATATACATATATATGTTTGTGTTACGTAGTTTAGCTGGGCCATTTTTTGATTGAAACGTATTCTAGCGGGACCTTCGGCTCTTAGCTGGACGGTCTTGATAATATTTTTCATGTTCAGTAGTTTATCAGGACAGTCCAGATAAAACCGATACGAATGCATTGTATTTTATCGGAACCATGTATAATTTCGTGTCCCTTTAATATACGGTCCGCGTATTTTAGTAATTTTTTAATGCAACGTATTTTACCAGGACCATAGCATAAAATTAGATTAAGCCCTGCGCACAATAAACAAAATATTAAGAATAAATATTAAATATTAAGAATAAGAAATATTGTGGAGTAAAAAATCGAAAAGAATGATATAAAAATACAAATTCAAATATAAAGGACTAGTAAAAGAGCTATATAAGCTAATAAAAGTCCTTTATACCCGAATTTGTATTTTTATATCCGTCTTTTTGATTTTATTATTCTAAAATAATTCTTATTCCTAATATTAAAAATAATTCTTATTCCTAATATTTAATATTTATTTCTAATATTTTGCCTATTGTCCGCAGGGTCTACGCTAATTTTATGCTATGGTTATGGAAGAAAATTTGGTACTTTCACCCCCATGGGGTGAGAAAAACGAAACTCAATACAAACAGGCACAAATAATGCTGAATCAACCTGCATTAAAAAAATTACGATATCTCAAAATGAGATGCTGACGATTTTTTTAACTCTTATAACTTGCAATCTTTTTGGGTACAAACGAAATCAAAGACGGTACAAACAGGTGCAAACAATGCTTATAAGGATGTATAGGAGACATTTAAAAATGGAACAAAATTCATCAAAATATAAATAAATATATAAATCGTTTCCACTTTAATACTAAAGCTACTGTTAAAATTTGAATTTAATTTACTAACTCATTTAAAAGTTATTGTAATTTAAATTTTTGCTAATTTTACATATCTTATAAAAAATCATTATTAGGATCTATTAAATTACGTCAAAAATATGGAAAAAATGATACCATGTATTTCAAAATTTTTTACATGTATAATTGGATTTTTAAGGGATAATGTTGCAAAATTTTAATAGGATTTACTAAATTATTTAGAACAAAATAATAATAATTTGTTGACATTCTGGCTTTTTCTCCGATTTCTGAGCATTTCGTTATGTCAACGCTGGAAACAGCTAAAAACTAAACTTAGGCAATTAAACTATAGCAATTTCTTATAACATGTACAGATTTTCTATAAGATGAATAGTGTTGGTGCTTTTGTCTCCGATTGTATCTCCTACACATCCTTAATCGAATGCATTTCTAAAAAATACATTTTCTTAGGCCCGTATTCATAGTCCGTTCTTATATTTAAGATCGTCTTAAGACCTCGTTCAACCAATCAAATGGCCGCATAGCATCTCTTGATTGGTTGAACGATGTCTTAAGACGATCTTAAATATAAGAACGGATTATGAATACGAGTCTTAAAATTGGATGCCAAGTTCACATAGGTTCTGAGATCGGTCTATGAAAACCGGACCTTAATAACAAATTAGTAACGGCACCGACGAGAGACAAGAGATCTCATCGTCGGTGGTAACGGTCATTTAGTGTTTGTTTAAAATTATATGAAGGTAATCTAATAATTAGATAACGATTTCAATAAATTTTTGTATCTGAAGTGGTAATTAATTTACAATTATTTTGAGTATTAATTGTTATAAAACAAATAGAAAAAGCATTGCGTGTGTTTCTTAATACATAAATATAGTACACGCGGAAATATCTACATTCTTTTTTATTCTTTTTTTCATATACACTTCTTTATCACATTAGTAAATGTTTTATAACAATGTGCAATACTCTCAATACCATTTATTACAATATAAAAAATAGGTGCTTATAAAAAAGGAGGAAAAGGAATATATAGATATTGCCACATGTATCGTACTATGTATTAAGAAACATACACAATGTTTGCTCTCGTGTTATTCAATGATGGGATCTATCATATTTGTAAATCAGAAAACGTTAAAAATAATAAAAATGAATGTGTGGCAAAATATAAAAATGTCAAGTATACTTGTCGGATCATAGCACAACATAGTAAGTATATGTATCCTATATATATCATAAAAGAGATTAGAAATAGCCAAATAAACTATTTGATTTGTCGTATCTCTCTCTCTCTCTCTCTCTCTCTCTCTCTCTTCTCTCTCTTTCTCTCTCTCTCAATCATTAATTTATTATTATTTGAAAATCTTTTATTAATATTTTAATATTCTATTGTTTATTACAGAAAATATTACTGTATTTAATGATATTAAGCATTCTTTAACTAACCTGTGTGTACCTAAAATTATATTACAACGTGTTACTTTGCCCAATGTGCACAAAAAACAAAACTTGCTTCAAATCCAGAATCAAGAAGGTAAGGTGGAATTTATTTGAATAAATAATTTGTATAGTTTATTTTATATTACTACAAATTATTATTGTTAATCATCGTGGCTGCTTTTGCGATAGATTTAAAATACAGATTAAAATAATCCTGCACTGCAATTGATCAATTTAATCTGGATTTATTTTAATCCTGCGCTGCAGTTGATCATGATCATTCTCTCGCAAAAGCAGCCATATTTAAATAACTTAATATTTTATAAATATTCGCAATTGCTAGTCAATAAAATAAGGAATATCAAATAATCGACCAAACATCCAATAAACTTTTATTAATTTTCACGACGTTTCTTAATATTTCTTATGCCATAGTTAGTCATAGTTATGTCATAGTTAGTTTATATTATATATATGTTTAATATTTCTTAATTTAATTGAAATGCTAATATATTTAATTATTGTAATAATTTATGATACGAATAATGTGGTCATATTTTCTTACTTATTAGAACAAAATTTATAGTTTTGTGAGATATCTATCTTCATATTTATATTCATAACTATTTTTTTCTTTCTTAGCATGTCTTGATAGTAATACTATGGAAGACAGTAGTGAAAATGTTTGCGATGAGGATCCATCTTATGAATCATCAAATAATTCATCAAATAACAATTTTGTTGAACCTGTGATAGATCAGACAACAAGTTCTGTTGCTAAACAAACTAATAGCTCAGCAAATATTTCTAGTCTATTATCAATATTGAATACATCAGACATAGTAACGTCATTAAATATATCTGACATATCAACGTCAGTAAATATATCAGACATAGATATCCAGGATGAAGTAAGAAATCTCGATGAAGGTATGTAATAAACAAAATTATTTTTAAACTGCACTGAGTTATTCAGCCTGCTCTTAAAATGAAATAGATATCTATGGGTCTGTTTCCTACCGCTTAATTGACTGTACTATTTCAAAAAATACATCTAAAGATTATTGGTGAATGTTAATGTCAGAACATCCATACCATTTTGCATTGGACTTGATTGATTTAGATATTTAGATCTTTGTAAAAATAAACTCTGTTTTAGTTTCTCTACGTAATTTTTTATATAGTTTTTCTTTTGTAAAAAGTTATACTTAGCTGTAGTGGATCCTTTTGTTATATAACAATATGTTTATTTCTTTACTTATAGATTAACAGTATATTTATATCTTTACTTTTATCTTTTAATATGAATTGTATATGATATATATAATTTTAGATAAATGTTCATGTAACTGGCATGGCAATGTATTGGAAGTATATAAAGATTGCGACTTATTTGAACCCACCATTGTAGAAGATAAAATTTCTAAACATTCTGAAATAAGTGCACCTGTTTCCACTACAGGTATGTTATTGTTTCAAAATAATTATAATTTTCTTGTACAAATATACACATTATGTTTTAAAAAACTGCTCACTCACTCTATATTTAAAATATAATTATAATAGCTATTATTACTTGTATGTAAAATACATCTCTAAATATTTGGTAAATATAATTATCTCTTTATATTTCTTTTATTGTACACCTAAGAATTTTATACTTGATTTAAGTTTTAACATATATAACATATATAATATATTTTGTTATACATTCCATGCACGATGCAGATGTGTACTATATAAAATAATTATTTTAGATATTTTGCAAATTCTAAATTTCTCTTTAATTCTATGTTGTTTAAGTAAGCTATATATCTCAAAGAAAACCAATTTCAACAAAGGACGAAAAATACATGATACATCTGATCATCAATCTATCAAAGTAATTTTCCATCGTTCTTGACTTCTTATTTATATTAAATTGCAATAACACATAATGTAAACGCAGAAAATATACAAGATGCGATCTTGTATAATTTATTCTGTTATTTAAATTTAAATATAAAAAATAACTGATTTATTAAATCTTTTTCAATATAACTTAAATTTTTATGTATTTGGTTACACAAGCCAACAAATTTTATTTTATTCGTACTATCTCGTACTGGATATAGTAAACCTGAAGGATATTTGCGCGCTGAAACCGAATTTATTAATTTCGTTAAAAGAGAAGTTTTTTTAATTTTATCAATGCCACACGCAAAAGTATTATTTATAATGTCCCGATTCAGCGACTTTTTCGGACCGATATATTTTTTTCGTCTACATCTCTCTAGGGGGGTAAAAAGAACGTAGGAATTAAGATCTCAAAAACCAAGAGATTGTTCCTAAATAATTCTTCGATATATTGCTAAGAAATTTCGTGCCTTGTGCACAGGTATAAGACAGCGAAAAATCAAAATTTTCGCGGTCTTCGCGCACTGACATCCGCGGTTGCTCTGTGTCGCCGATTACTATCTTTTAAATTTGTTATTTAACATAGCAGAGCGCTAAAAATTATTTGTTATTATTTATAATGTTATAAATTATCTCAAAATCATTGAAACCTTCGACGAAATTTTAGTCAAAAGTGTTACGTCTAATAGACAAATTTGAATTTGATTTCATCGTGCAAAAATCTTTTAAGATATCCTGCTTATTTGAGATAGTCCAAAAAAAATTTTAATTGTCAACTTGTGTTATTAATTATTGATGTAAATAATATAATTTTTTTATATATTAATATCAATTTTTTAATATATTAAAATCAAATGTATAATTTTTGTGATATTTAATCCTTATTCTTTACTCTTTTTAGCATACCTCAATAATAATAATATTATACAAGACATTTCAAAAAATATTTATGATAAGAATCCACCTTATGTATCAAACACAGAAGAAAATTTTATTCAATCTGTAGATGAGACAACAAAGTATGTTACTAAAGAATATAACATGTCATCTACATCATTAAACATATCAGATATAGGCATTCAGGATGACGATGGAAATCTCAATGAAGGTTAGAAAAAAAATATATTTTTTATAACTATTTGCTTGATTTGCACTTAAAATGTCAGCTGGCTATGTCAGATTTTTGGCAACAGTTTTGCAAAATCGTCAGATAGAACCTGATCTTATGTTAAAGTTACCATTTTGACATCAAAAATTTATAAAGACTTTGCTTAGAATCTGTCTGCACCTGTTTAATTTTAAAGAAGATACGATCTTGTTATATTTATTCAATATTTTCAACAAATTTTGTTGTTTTAATATAAGTATATTTCATTTATAAATTATCTTCTTTTAATATAATTAAAATGCTTATGTATACATATATTTAATTGGTAATTAAGGCTTCTTTATTTTTTGATGACGTCAGAAGCAAGAAATTACATGCTGGAACTTCTTACTGTATACATTGACATAAAAAAGTATATCCGTAATACGATATGTGATCAACTCAATGAATTTATAAAATGCTCCAAAAACTTTCATTACTGTAAGATGTAATTTTTGCTATAAGAATCAATAAATAACAACAGGTGAAAGTTGTTTGATCTTTTTGCATGATTTTGATGTTACATTAATTTTACAATTTTTTATTGACTAACACAGCAAAAAAGATACTCATAAGAACATTTCACAAATTGCTAAATCGATTGCAAATGTTTATGGATATATCCTTTTATTTCTATATATATATTTTATTTATTAGATATATATACTGCAATACTTTTGAATGCGATTTCTCGTTTCTGACGTCATCAAACGAGGACGGTTATAGTAAATATCTTGAAACTTTAAAGGGATGCTAACTCAGAAATAACTGCTTTTAAAGTTACTCTGGTTTTTTAACACTAAAAATACAAACGCTAATGAATGGAAGACTGCCCAAAGTTACATGAAAACTCTTGTTGAGTTTTATAATATTAGATAGCCTTCCATTCATTTGCATTTATATTTTCACATTGAAAACTATTCACCTCCTCTAATGGTATGTTTAACCAATAATAAATAAAGAGTAAATTAGAAAAGCAATTATACTGGCGTCTAGCATCTCGTTAACTATATGAATCATACTGAGTAACCCATTTTAAAAGATATACAGAAATATATCAGAAACTTTTTGCTTTATCTTAAAAAATATTTCGAGTGAAAGTTATTTGATGTTAAGGAACTCGTTTGATGATCTTTATTTGACTTTAGATCAAAATCCAGAAGTTTAGTTCAAGGTCAACTTAATTTTTTTAAACGGACTTCACTATTATTTTTTTATATAAATTAAGTTTTTGCAATATTAGGTATAAAAATTTATGAGAGTAAGATGACCAAAAAGTTAATAGTTTACGAGAACTTATAGTTTATGTGAAATTGTCATATACAAGTACAACATATCTCAAATTATTCACTTTTTGATCACATTATCCTTCAACTTTTATTCCAAATATTAGAAGGAATCGATATAAAATTATTTACAGTGATTTAAAAAATTAAGTTTATCTTGAAATAACATTTGGATTTTGATGCAAAATCAAATAAATATTACCATCAGATGACTCTTTCAACAACAAATAACTTTTACTTAAATTACTTTTTAAAATAACAAAGTTTCTGAAATATTTGTGTGAATCTTTTTTAACGAAGCATTCTGTATAATTTCTTACGTATTAAAAAATCTATAATTTTTTTTGTTATTTAACATGCATATTTTTCTCTTCTTTTAGCGTGTCTTGATAATAATACTATGGAAACAACATTGAAAATGTTAGCGATGAGGATCCATCTTACGTACCATCAAACACTTCGTCTAATGAAAGTTTCGTTCAACCTGTGATGAATCAGACAAGAAATTCTTTTGCTAAAGAAACTAACAGTTCGGCAAATACTTCTAGTGGATTAGACATATCAATGTCACTAAACGTATCTGGGAAATGTGCTCGGGATGACACTGAAATGTTTGTTACATCAGTTGGTGCAGGAAACAAGAAGCATTTCTGTATGTATTGCAATACGTTTCAGAGCAAAATAGCTCGTCATCTTGAGAGAGTACATGCGAATGAATTAGAAGTTCAAAAATTTAAACACATGCCAAAAGGGAATGCAGAACGAAGAAAGATCTTAGAAACGATACGTAGACGTGGAGATTTCTATTTTAATACCGATTGTGCACGAAATGATGGTGAATTATTAGTAGAAAGACGTTCAAAGAAAGAATACAACAGGATACCTTCTGAATACGTCGTATGTCCAAAATGTAAAGCTTTCATTCTAAAAGTTACAAGCAGACATCACTATCAAAGATGCATTAAAGAAATGATTAAAGTTAAAGATAATAGATCAATATCAATTTTAGGAAGACAAATAATAGGACGTATACATAATGAGGCAAGCAATGCTCTAAGATTACGAGTTTTCCCACTTTTACGAGAAGATGATATAGTAAGAAATATCCGTTACGACGAACTAATAATAGCATTTGGTAATCAACAGTGCGAAAAATATAAAACATCTGAACACAATGATGCATTGATTAGACAAAAATTAAGAAGGATGGGTCGTCTGCTTCAAGTAATAAAATGTAAAAATTCTGATATTACGGATTTTGCTTCCATTTACTTCCCCCGATACAGCAATACTTGCATTGAAGCAATTAATACGTTAGCCGGTTTATTTTTATGTGGAAAATTTTTCAAAACTCCTTCACTGGCTTCTGGACTTGGAGGTTTACTAAAAGAAGTGGGTAAACTTTTAATCAATCGATGTATTAGAAAAGAAGACAAGGAAAGGAAGTTACGTGCTGAAGACTTTTTGAAAGTATTTACCGAAGATTTTGCAACACGTATATCAAAAACAATATCAGAAACAATGACTAGAAATCTAAGACGTAAAAAGATTACGTTACCCTGTAAAGCAGATATTATTAAGCTTCATAATTTTCTAAAACAAGAACGTGAAACAGCTTATAATTTTTTGAAAGAAAAGTTCTGCTATGATGCATGGCTTTCGCTTACGAAATCTACATTGACTTCAGTACAAGTGTTTAATCGTCGTAGAGCCGGAGAGATACAAAGGACGTTAATCGAGGATTATAAGGCGTATCAAGGTATTAATTATCAGACAAACGACATGTATAAAGCGCTTTCAGCACGTGCCAAAGAAATTGCTAAAAGATATGTGCGATTTACCCTCAGAGGTAAACTTGGACGAACGGTACCAGTCTTACTAACAGAAGAATTAAGAGACTGCATCGAAATGATTTTAAAGCATAGAAAGGCTGCAAAAGTTTCTTCGAAGAATCCATACCTATTTGGTCTTCCTTCGCTTCAAAAAGATAAACACCGATATCTTTTAGCGTGTGATTTATTACGGCAATATGCAGTAGATAGTGGCGCAGAAAATCCAGAAACTATTCGTGCGACTGAATTACGGAAGCATATAGCAACAATTTGTGTTCATTATAATCTATCTGAAAATGAAGTTTCAACGCTTGCAAATTTTATGGGCCATGCCGATAAAATTCATTTATCTCACTATAGACAACCTGTTATTGAAAAAGAAATCTTAGAAATATCTCAATATCTGGAAGCCGCACAAGGAGCCGATATAAATGAAAGTGATAGTAATGATGATTCTGACTCTGAACTTTCAGATGTTGAAAATACAGCGAAGACTACAGAAACTCACGATGATACAATTAATAAAGAAATTGCATCTAGAAAAGTCATTCGAGATTTTCAACAAGGTACTTTATTCCTTCACAAATAAAATTTAATTTTTTATTACATGGTAGTCACTAAGTGATTAAGGCCGAACACTTGCCCGACGGTCCTGGTTTCTTTGATATAAGAGAACATTCGTAATTTGATTTTATATTTAAGGCTGTCTTAACACAGTGATATGTAGTATATAATAAAACAGCGTTTACAGTATCTAAAGGCTCGTCCGAAGAGCCGGCACAGTAACATGTACTGAATCCGGATCCTGAACCAAGCCTCTGTGTAACTTAAGGCTTCCAAGACCAAGATTAATGAAAGTAGATGAAGATGTTGATGAACCATCATCGAATGATATATTGAGTTACTAATCATTCGATGATAATATGCAAAATGATCAAAACATGATAAATATTAAGAAAAAAGTGGTTGATCAGTACCGTCGTTTACAAAATTTTCAACAAACCAACGGAGGTGGGTATTAACCCCTTCGCTGCATATAGTACAAAGGTTATGTTTTTCTCTACGATAGACGAAGGTGGGTTTAACCCCTTCGTTGCCTGGGAGTGCCCGGCATTCGGTATCCTGTGTCCGGCCGACGGAGGTGGGTTTGACCCCTTCGCTGCCTGGGGGTACCCGGCATTCGGCTCCTTCTCTCCGGTCGGCAGAGGCGGGCGTGCCCCCTCTGACGCCAGGGTGTACCCGGCATCCGACTCTCCCGCAGCGCGCCGTGCCGCCGCCCGCGGCCCCGCAAACGCGAGATCGTTCGTCCGTCCGCGCATTTATATATAAGTTTGTGTGACTGTCCGCTAGACTAAGTGTATATATCAAGTGTAAGTAATCATTGAATAAACCTTTTGTGACTTTGAAACCGTGTACGCAAGTTTGGCCTTCCGATTCCGAATCCTGGTTCCGGCGAGCCGTCCGAGGCTAACCGAAATCCGCACCGTTACATGGCGCCCGAACAGGGACACTGACGCACGGTAGGCCCAGCTTGCGTATCACCGAATGAGCAGTGCGTGGGTGCATTCGCTCACCAAAGACCAGATCCTCCAGGAGCTGGAGCAACGCCACCTTGACTCGACCGCCCCGCTGGACACGCTGAGGAAACGCCTGCGAAGACACATGAGTAAGTATCCAGAAAGCATGCCGGGGACTAGCACACAGCAGAAGCCCGTCAACTTGATCCCACCGACCATCATCATACCAGGGGTCGACCAGATGTCCGACGAGGATGATAGTGGTAGCGAGAACACGGTAAGCCGTCGACCGTCTCGACCCCACCAAGATCTGCCGGCACTCGACCGAATGAAAACAATGAACCAGATTCGAAAGTGGGGTCACTTCTTCGATGGCAAAGATCCCCTTGCCTTTCTGGAGCGAACGGAGGAACTCCGAGCCAGCTACGGCCTCGACCCCGTCCAGCTAATCACCGGACTTCCGGAACTACTACGGGGCGACGCCCTACTCTGGTATCGGAACCATAACGAGGAATGGGATACCTGGGAACAATTTACTCAGGCGTTCCGTACCCATTTTCTACCGCCCGGATATCAGCGGCGGATGAGACGTGAGATACAAGGTCGACATCAACGACCCGGGGAAACGTTCCAGGCCTATTCAACGGCCGTATTGACCATGATGCGACGAGCCGGCGGATACACAACCCGAGACAAGGTCGAACAAATCTACGAGAATATGGACCCTGAGTACCAACTATACGTCCCGCTGACCGATCAGACCAGCCTCGGTGACCTGAGCACGAAGGCCGTCCAGTACGAGGCTATCATTCAGAGGCGAAGAGAGCGCAAGGCGGAGAGCCCCGCTCAGCCCAGGGCCACTATAGCCGCCGCCACATATAACCGAGAGGAGTGCTGCTGGCGCTGCAAACAACGGGGACACACTCGCCTAGAGTGCAAACGCCCCCCCAGAAAATTCTGCTCCCGATGCGGCAAGGACGGGGTACTTACCCGGGATTGTCATCCACCGTCGGGAAACGCCGCCCGGACCGGGAACGTAGCGGCCGTAGGCCGGTCCAGCACGGAATAGAGTACGACCCCAGGCCGCACCTACGCGTACAGATACGTCAAACAGAGGTCCGAGCCCTATTGGACTCCGGATCCGAAATGTCCTTCATGGACAAAGAAACCGCTCGACAACACCAGATACCGATTCAATCCCTCGGCACAGGCGGGAACACGGTGCGGCTGGCCGACGAGACCACCACAAACATCATCGGCACTGTCCGCCTAAGATTCCGAATCCAAGGGCGGCCCTGTCGCCACAGATTCGCGGTGCTGCCTAGACTCAGCAGCCCGATTCTGATAGGCATCGACCTGTGGGCTAAGCTGGGGATCGGCCTGACAACAACTAACACACGCCGGGCCACACAACGAACCACCGTTAACGCCAACATCACCGCCTTGAGCACCGGAGCGACCGATGAGCACACCCGACTGCAAGCCTTCCTAGCCACCGAGTTGCCCCTCTTCGATACCATCCGGGGCCCCACCGATCGGGCCGAACATCACATCCGCCTGAAACCCGGCCCGCCAATCAAACAACGATACCGACCACGGAACCCGGCCATGCAACGAGTGATCGACCAGGAAGTCGAGGAAATGCTGAAAGAGGGGGTCATCGAACCCTCCGCAAGCGGATGGAGCTCGCCGGTAGTCATTGTCCGAAAGAAGGACGGAACTCACCGCTTCTGCATCGACTACCGGAAGCTCAACGCGGCATCCGAAAAAGACGCCTACCCGCTACCTCACATCACCGCCACACTCGATAAATTACGAGGGGCCCAATACTTGTCTACCCTCGATCTGAAAAGCGGGTATTGGCAGATTCCGCTAACCAAGGCAAGTCGGCCAGCTACAGCCTTCACCGTACCCGGCAAAGGGCTGTACCAGTTTACGGTCATGCCATTCGGCCTCCACTCCGCTCCGGCCACGTTCCAACGGCTCCTCGATACAGTCCTGGGCCCGGATTTGGAGCCCCACGTGTTGGTCTATTTAGACGACATCGTGATCGCCAGCCGTACGTTTGAAGATCACCTCCAACATCTGCGCGAGGTTTTCCGACGCTTGAGGGGTGCCAGACTACGCCTAAATATCGAAAA